AAGTCATATCAAAATTCGTGACCTACATTGCTGATCATTTCCCGATTCCAAACTTTTGTCCAGTGAGTGTACATGTAAATCCTGACCATTATCATTAATTAGAAAAATAAATATGATACCCGATTTTTATTAACCTCACATTTAAATAGATTCGATAAATTCTATGTAAATCCGAACTATTATGACATTACAATCATTGTTTGATGAAAACCAGAATTCTCAACGTACTTTTTCAGCTCATTCAGCAATTTTAGTGGCGCAATCGCAATATTTTGCTACTGCGCTCTCTGGTGCTTGGATAAAACGAGAACCGAATATGATTATCTTTAAAAAACCAAATATCGAACCTAAAGTTTTTGAAATATTGTTAAGGCAATTTCATGATAAGAAATAATGCATATTTAAATAAAACAAATAGAAAAATTGTCTGATTAAACTTTTCAATAGATATATTTACAGCGGAAAAATCGATTTACAAATTCATAGAATTTCAAAAATATATCCAAATCAAACTTCTCGAATACCATTCGAATTCTTTGATAGAAATTTTCGCCTTAATCAACCAAATTGCATTCGAGCATAACACTTTTACCAAGCTTCAGAAATTTTGCACAGACATCACATGTCAAAATCCAGCTGTTATTTTTCAGTCAACAAGTTGCATGAGTCAGTTTGTTTACTAAAACGTGATGATCTAAATTTAAAAGAAATTGAAATTTTGGAAAAGGTGCTTGAATGGGGAATCTCTCAGGTTGCAGATGCTAATGAAATTGATCTGACTATTCCATTTGAAAAATGGGCACATGACGAATTTAAGGAACTCAAATCTACTCAAAAATTGTTTACCATTGATTCGTTTCTTCTACATCAATTCGGTTGATTTTCATACAAAGTTATGCCCTATGTTGAGATTTTGCCAGGAACACTTTATAAAGATTTATTGCATCAATACTTGGTGCCAGGAAGTGAAGAACGTAAGGTTACCTTGCACCCAGCTCGCAACAAATCAATCCTTTTGATAAAGCAGTCCCAGAAAATAGTTGATTGAATTAAAGAAATAGATGACTCTCAGAAAAACAAATCAATCGAATTAAAGTTATTATTACGTGATAGTCGTGATGGATTTAAGAATACCGATTTTCATCGCTTATGTGATAATAAAGGTCCAACTATTGTTGCTATTCGCGTAAAAGATGAGGAAAAGATTAATGGTGGTTATAATCCGTTTGAATGGAATTCTCTTGACAAAGATTACTCATCATTAGATTGCTTTTTGTATAAATTTAATTCTGATGATATTTATGCTACAAATGGAGTACTAAGCAAATATCAAGAAGGGCGGAGTATAGGATGTATGGCAGATCATGGACCTATTTTCGGATCTGGTTCTGATTTAATTCTGTTTTAATGTACCTGAGAGTTTCTGTGAAAAAAGCTCATATGAACATGGTCTGTTGAGCTCTGATGGATATAAATATTTTGACATTGTGGATTATGAAATATTTCAAGTTATGTCAACATAATTTTTTATTCATTTTCATGGTAAGATTGAATTATAGTGTTGTTTTTTAGGATAAGAAATTCATTTTAATCAAAAAATTTGTTGTTTATTAAATTACTCATTATTAGCGTTTATAATGAATGGTGTGGATTAGAATTTGGATTATTTTTATATTCTATCAGAATCTTTACATAATTATTAACACCGAAAACGTCCTTGGAATTAATTATTATATAAATTTTTTGATTTGTCGATACTGCTTGTAGAGCCTAGTAACTTTCAAAAGCATCCTTGAGAAAGAATTTATTCGAACTAATTTATTTATCTTTGGAACAAATTCAAAAAAAGATGTAACGTATTAAATATATTCTATAATTTCAGCCGGAAAATACATAAAATTATTTCTGAATTAATTAAAAAAATGCTTTATTCAAAAAGTATATAAGATTGTATTTTGGCTTAATATGGCCAATCACGACTCCCTAACTTTGTATAGCTAAAGTAGTAAAGCCTTCGTTTTATTGAGTACAAAAGGATTAAAGCTATCGAATTTGTTTAGGACACAAAAGAAATAAAAGCCGAGGCGGCGTTTGATAGGAGTTAAAATAAATTTTCTTCAAATCTCACAAGACTTATCTTTTGGGCTTTCGAGCATCACCCTTTTTAGATCTTTTTGATTAATTATCTATTCCGCGGACCTACATTTCTACAAGAACCCGCGGGTCACTACATACAAAGTTTGGCGAATAAAAAATGTAATAATTAGATTCTATTATTTTCTGTGAGGAATAATTGCAATAATAAAGTAAAAACTAGATAAAAAAATTATATATGATTCGAAAACGTAGATTTTGGTATGAATTCCGTTATCAAGATGCTCTTAAGGAACAACATGTGTTACCGATGTTTGCGGTGACTTCTATTGAAATCGCATTCTTGGAAACGCGGGTAAAGAATTTTTGTGGAAATTTCGCATTATTAGAATAGGCAGTGTTGATGTTAAGACTAGATGTCTGAGACGACATATATGTTGATGCAACAAGATAAGAATGTTTGTAGAACTTTTCATCAGAAAAATAGGGTAATTACATGTATAATATTATTCATAACTCATTAATAATTTAGAATACAGAGATAAATATTGATATTGCTTCAAAATTCATGATCATGAGACTTCTTTTCAGTTTTTATTTAGTTACAGGCGATTCTATAAGTCTGATAATCATGGGATTCTATGTTGCAAGATCAGCAATTAGAAAAATAACAAACTTTAAACACTCATGCATCCAATTTTATTATATTTTTTTTATTGAATGCACCTATTTTTTAATGTTAGAAAATAAAAATTTATTAATAAATTTTTGAAGTTATCTGTAAAAAATGCAGATCAATTATTTAATTAAGAATAAATTGCTTATACTTATCATTATAATCAACTATTCAAATTATTTGATCTTTTTTTATTAGATTTATCTTGATTTCTACTTTCAGAAAATATTTTTTTATTCATTTCAAAATAAAGATCAGAGCTACAGATTTTGAATATAAAAAATTTTTAGTTTATAAAAAGCCAAAAAAAACAATGAGTGAAATCAGTAAAATATTAAGATATCTAAATTCATAATTTATAATATAATAAAAACATAAAAATCAAGATTAAATCACTTTAACTCCATATTCTGATAGATCCAAGATATTAAATAATCATAAAAAATATATATAGTACGTGAAAAAAAGTTAGCAACTATGTGATTATTGATTATTTATTTATTTATCTTTAAAGGCCATCATATTAATTATTTTATTATCAATTTGTCTCTAGTTTTTTGTCACATATTGCCAAGACACTTCTGTTATAAGTTATAGTTGATAAAAGAAAAGAACTTTCTATTTTTGAATATGGAGAAATTATTAGAGCTTGAAAATATAAGTTTAAAGAAAGAGAGATTGTTAAAGCTTTAAATCATTCTCAAATTACTATTCATAATATTATTTCCAGTTACAGAGACTATAAATATGAAGTTTTATCATGTAGAGCTGGCAGATTACTAATAATATTTAAAAGAGATATTCAATATTTAACAAATATTTTAAAAATTAATCTTGAAGAATTATGTGAAGATTTTACCAGTTCAATCACAAAAATATCTGTAAAAAAACTTTAAGTAAGTATCTTTATAAACAAGATTTTTATGGTCAAGCTGGTGTTAGAAAACTATTTATAAGTGAGAAAAAGGCTTATCTAGATCAGAAAATGAAGAGAATGAACATTTGAAGTGATGAATTCAAGTTTGAATTATGGTAAAAGATTGATTTGGAGATAGCCTCATGAAAACTATAATATAAATTATTTAATTCCTATTGTAAAATCAGGTTAACAAGGAGTAATAGTACGAGAATGCTTCATAAAATATAATCTTGATCCATTAATAAAATTAGAAGGAAAAGTAATAGCTACAGTGTATGTAGATATATTAAAAAATTACTTGTTACTATTTCTAAATGACTTGGATAATTTGAAAACTATTTATTTCAAGAAGACAATGCATCCATACATATTGCAAGAATCGTTAAAAGTTAGAAAAAAAAATGAGGTTGATAATATTTCATGGTCAGCACAGAGCCCGGATCTGAACCAAATTGAAAATTTATGGAATGAACTAGAGAGATGCATTTGGGCACACATCCCATTACCAAAAAATAGGAAGAATTTATGGGAAATACTTCAAGAAGAATGGTTAAATATAGATATTAATAAATATCAAAATCTTGCTGCATGCCCCGTCAAGTTGCTGCTGTTATAAAAAGCAAAGGTCATCCAACAAAGTATTAGTTAAAAGTTTCAGTATTTATCTTTTAAATAAAAAAAACTTTATTAAATTTGGTGCAATAATTATCATGTCATTTGAATTTAAAACTTTGCGATGGTCTGTGACTTATTTCTGCACACTGTATATGAACAAATTGAAATATGACTCATTAACTAAATGAAATCTAGAAAAATATAAATTTTATTTGCAAATTCTCTAAATATCGGTTGGATTCTAGTAAACACAAAAGTAATCAATTTCATTCAAATGAGAATGGTAGAATTTTTATTAGACCAATTTTTATAAAAAGATATATTCTGAAAGTGATTGTCCCATAAATTGAGTTTGTCCGTTGGATTGGTGAACATGAGCATCGTCTTGCATTGTTCCAGAATTTCATAATCACGGGACTTTGCGACGGCAAGTTCTAAAGTGCGCTCTATTGTTGATTTGGAAAAATTGTGGAATACTTTTAAGGAATTACGAGAGGTTAACTATTACGAATATAGCAACGATTTCCATGCTAAGCAACTATGGGGGATTTAAGGTTACTATGGTAAAAGTATGTTCAAGACGAAGGTAAATCTCTATCTAATACTAGTTTATTCACTTCATAAATTTATTATTATTATTTAATGTTATTTTATTAACTTCATTTATTTTTTCTTTATCTTAGCGTTAGTCGTAGTGTAAGAAAAATAAAAGAATGCTGTTTTGAAAGAAAACGGCAGTAGATCTATAGTTTCATTTTTTTTTCCTTTCTTCTCCTTTTTTTTCTAATGTCTTTACTATTTTCTTAGTATGGTAACTATTTTGATAAACTTGGTGATTTCTTTATTAATTCTATCTAATATCCATCAGCTAGCAACATACTTAAATAGATAAAGTCTTCGTTCCTCATGTTAATTTGGTCCATTTTCTGGAAAAGGTTTCCAGCATAAATTTGCACGATCTGAGAGCAATGTTTGTAGGCCGTATTCTATTGCATATGTCCAAAAATCGCCAAAATTTAATACATTGACAATGTATTGATTAGCATGTTCTCCCAAACATAACTTCATAAAAAAGACTGGAAGTCATTGGAGAACAAGCGAGCTTCACAAGTATTGATTCTAAAAGCGCGAAAAATTAAATGGGAAGGAAAATTGAAATAACACATGATTTACACTAGTCTGGACTTAACAGATAGAAGATATTAAAAATCTCATGAGATATTAAATTTGCTGAATACTTTCTTATATTAATCCAGAGTTACTAAGTGAAAAATTCATAACCAAGTGCAGAGGTGAACGACCATTTTGTGAGCATATTCGTGATATAAATCTCTTATTAGACATTTATAAAGGAGTACGACCTACAGTCCGCACGGAAAGTAATGGCGGACAAATTTTTAGTTGTGTGAACCTTCTGAGATGTGCACAAGACATAATAAATTATCTGTTGATTTATGCTGACATATGCTGTATTTTTTCTGTTTACATGTCATCAGTACGCAATAATCATCCTTCTTTAACATCGAAGAACTAAAAAAAATTGATCCCGGTATCTGGAAGAACTTTTGGTTAAATCTCACTGCAATTTTGCAAAAATTTTTTAAATAAATTATGCTAATGTTTATTCTTGTAAAAGATATAATATCTATTTTTATAAAAATACTCAAATTTCGATCATTTGCTTTTTTAGTAATTCATATAAATCCGCTCGCCATGAGCCTCAGTGAAAATGAAATAAAAGTTCAAAGTAATTAAATGAACAATTACCTCTTACTTTTTTCACTTCGGGTTTTGTCACTTTTACCGAAGAAAACCGTGTTTCTTTGTTATTCGCTTTAATTACTTCCTTCGTAGGATAGCCTCACCGTGAAAAGAACCTTTGAACAGCAACATAACTCGTGAATCCAAACGAACTAATAATAAAGATAGTCTCCTTTGTTAGCAGCATAATTCCCTTTGCCCTTTCTAATTAATCCCTCCACGCTACTCAAACACACACACCTTTGCCATCAACAGTAACCGTAGTTACTGGCACAAGCCTCTAGATACGTAACAAAAGAGACCGATTGCTCCCCAGGAAATCCAGTCAAATTCTCTCCAGAACGATTACACTATTCTAGTTTGAAAGCCAATAGATCGGATAGTCGTAACAGTGTGTTGGAAAATAGTGTTACTATGCCTTTTGAATATCTTCAGGTGGTTTTTGATCAATTTATAAAACGAAAAACCATTGGATTACAAGTGTGATCATGAAGAAAATAAATTTAAACGAAAGAGAAGCAAACTTGTGTTGAGCTTTTTAATTCAACCATAAAAATTTATTTGGGAAGACAATTAAAATGTTCATATTTTTGATTGTCAAATAAATTCACAGAGAAAATTTTATGTATTGTGATTTTGTCCTTGAAATTTAACTGAATTAAGAATTATTATTCCAACAAATATAGAAATTAACCAAGAAATTTGTAGAGTACTTCCTTATATGTGTCCAGAGGTGCTACAGATATTTATAGCTTTGGGAATTTTGTTGTACGAAATAGTAACTGTGAACAACCATTTGGTGAACGGGTCATGGAAATTATCTTGTATATAATATTTATAAAAGAATACCAAAAACTATTATCTGAAAGCAAACCAATTTGGTAATTTCTGATTGATATTAGATGAAAAAAATTTACAAAGAAATTCCTACGAAAAAAATCAAAAAAAAATCCACCTCCACCAAACACAGTCGAATGTTATTTCGAAATTAATGACAGAATTTTCACATTCCGCAATATACAACAATAAATCGCAGCACAACCAGTCGCGAAACTTCCAGAGTGATCCAATGCATATTACAGCATAACTCGCAGCATAAACCTTTATTATATTATATTTATTATGTTATTTTATTATGTTATTTTATTATGTTATTTTTCATTTTTATCAATATAATAGGAATGATATGTCGTTAATGAGTCTACCGACAATCCAACTTCCGACAGCCTAACATCCCGAAAATCTAATCCCGACAACTTAACATCCCGACATATCCAACTTCCTACCAAACTCAATTTCCAGACATAAACTGAAATTAACCTAGCTTTTTCGGGATGTTGGGAATAGGTATGTTTGATGAGAAGTTGGATTGTCGTGATGTTAGGTTGTCGTGATGTTGGGTATCGGATGTTGGGGTGTCGGG